CGGGAACCGGAAGAGAGAGGCGAGGTCGGGCTCCCTTTCGCGAGGGCGTCTCTACCTCTTTGTCGCAACTGGGGCCTGGTTTCTGGCGGTTGGGCGGAGGCGGCTGCTGCAGCTGACGACGCCCGTCGAGAGCGAGGTAGGGGCGAAGGAGCCGGGGCTGGGGTGAGGCAGCGCCGGCCTTCTCGGTGGGCCGCAGCCGGGGGCGAAGGAAGGAAGCGGTGCTTTGTTGCCCGGCCCTTGAGCGTCGGTGGCCGTGAGGGGAAGGCGGGGAAGAATTGCCACAGAATTGCTGAGGGGCTCCAGCTTGGGGGGGGGGAGCAAGCGGAGCCGCCTCTGCGGAAGGAGGTATTGTGGGGATGGGGTGTCCCGTGTCATCACTACAGGTGGCGGGTTCGGGGCGTGGCCCAACCCTGACCCCGCCCCCTTTTAAAGTTTGCAGCGACGCGCGGGAATTAAACAGGTGAAGGGCCGGATTTAGGTTTGATGAGGCCCTGAGCTGCTGAAGGTAATGAGGCCCTTTATATGTCCAGCTGTCCTTTGTCAACAACAAATTGTCACTGTTTTTTTGTGTTAAACATATGTTATATGGTCATTTATGGACCTAATAGGTTTCTAAAGCCATTTGTACATAACAAAAGGCTAGCAGGCGGGGTTCATTATTTACATCATAGGAGCCTTTTGTTGTTGTTTAGTCGTGCCTTCGTGACCCCCTGGACCAGAGCATGCCAGGCACTCCTGTCTTCCACTGCCTCCCGCAGTTTGGTCAAACTCATGCTGGTAGCTTCAAGAACAGTGTCCAACCATCTCGTCCTCCCTCTGTAATCCCCTTCTCCTTATGCCCTCCATCTTTCCCAACATCAAGGTCTTTTCCAGGGAGTCTTCTCTTCTCATGAGGTGGCCAAAGTATTGGCGCCTCAGCTTCACGATCTGTCCTTCCAGTAAGCACTCAGGGCTGATTTCCTTAAGAATGGAGAGGTTTGATCTTCTTGCAGTCCATGGGACTCTCAAGAGTCTCCTCCAGCACCATAATTCAAAAGCATCAATTCTTCGGCGATCAGCCTTCTTTATGATCCATCTCTCACTTCCATACATCACTACTGGGAAAACTACACAACACAAAACACTGTTGCTGTATGTAGGTCATAGCTGTCAACTTTTCCCTTTTCTTGCGAGGAATCCTATTCAGAATAAGGGAATTTCCCTTAAAAAAGGGAAATGTTGACAGCTATGATGTAGGTTTTATTTTATTTGTTTTTTATCTTATATTTTGGAAATGTATATCCAGTTTTGTTTTGTTTTTAAAAATTTGGGGGCGGCCCAAGAGAGTGGGCCCCTAAGCTATAGCTTGTTTAGCTTCTACGGGAGAAGCAGGGATAAATTTGCCTTGCAGCTGTAAAAAAAACCCTGAGGCTTATCACAGAATGTTGTTTTGCTTATCACAATGGTCGAGTTGGAAGGGACCACGAGGGTCTTCTAGTCCGACCCCCTTGCTATGCAGGCCTAGGTGCCAACTTGTGGGGCCGAGGTCCCTTTGCCCACCCCCCCCCCACTGCAGTAAAATATTTGAGCGGGCTAACGCCCCCCTCCCCACAAAGTTGATGGGCATTGCCATTCAAATGGTGTGTCATGTGATTGATTATTCAGGGCAGCCCTGTCCCCCCCCCAATATTTTATTCAAGTTGGTAATACTTCAGGGTCACTTTCTCTTTCTTTCATCTCCTTTTCCATTACTGTCACCTTTGAAAAGGCAAATTATATATTTAATATATCTTATTTTGTGCAAGAGCAGGTCTGCACAAATGAAGATGGTTGTTAAAAAAAGACAGTAAATGTGCTTTCAGCAACAACTAACTGGTGGGGAAAGGGCAGACTGCATCCTTTCCTTTGGACTGATGTAAACAAAATGAAAGTAGGGGTTTGTGGCAATAGATGGCACTCAGCCAAATGTCACGTCTAAAAAAACCTAGTGATGTGAATGAGAATTTTCTCAAGAATATTCTCTGCTAGAAAATTGTCTGGAGAATATTCTCCACAAACTGTAAATTCTAATGTAAGAAGCAGTTTTACAACCCACATTTAAAAGATCTAGTAAATAATAAGTCAAGCTGTGATATTGCCAGTGTAAGTAATGAATAATGATTTTTTTGATCCAGTTACATTACTGGGCATTGTGTCATTCACCATTGGCAGTTCTGCAATGTGAGCTACAGAAAACTTTTTTTTTTTTTTAGTTTTAAAAATGCTATTTATTTAATTTGATGAACATTTAAATTCATATGTATTTCAACTAGACTTAATAGCCTTTTTTCTATTTTGGTGTGACCTTATTCTTAGCAATTCTGTACCCTTGGCCATACAGAGTGATTTTTCTTTTTTTACAGAAAGTAGCTTTAATGCTTTATACACTTAAGTACCTAGGGGCCTATACAATTATGTGTAACAGCATGTGAGGTGGCCTTTATTTAAACAGTTGACGTTTCTACATTTTTATTTAGTGCCAGTAACTGGTTTTTGCAGTGCCATTCAATGGTACAAGGTGCCATTTACCAGAGATTGACATATTGAAATATATTATCAAAAAATGAGAACATATTTAATGTTAGGTAAAGGTAAAGGGACCCCTGACCATTAGGTCCAGTCGTGGACGACTCTGGGGTTGCGGCGCTCAAATGGTTTCTTTTTTATATGTATGCATATAGTTTTGTTTCTCAAGCTGTGTTTTAGTCTCCAAAACAGTTATTAAGTGTTAGAGCTATCAGAACACAAGATAGCCTATTATTGAATGTACTTGTATTAAACCTTAACATGACAATTACTGGTGCCCTCACCTTAGAATGCATTAAAATGAATATTCTCCTATTTTAAATGAAAATTCTCTAATCTCATTAATCGAGAATAGTCTCCAAAAGATTATTCTCGAGAATTTAACATTACTAAAAACAAATAAATCCACACATTGTGCTTCCACACAGAGTAACATGCAATTTTATATTGGATTTTCTTCCCTTATCAGATTACCGTATTTTTCGCACCATAGGGCGCACCGGACCATAGGGCGCACCCAGTTTTTTGGGGTGGAAATAAAGGGGGGGGAATTATTTTTCCCTCCCAGGCGCGGGGCTGGGGCGGGGGAAGCTCGAGCTTCCCCCGACCCCAGCCCCCAAACAGGCAGCTCTCTGCAAGCCGTGGGAGCGCTCCCACTGCTTGCTGAGAGGTGCGCGAAGCCTGGACGTGCTGAGCTGAGCGCGTGCAGGCATCAGCATGCAGGCAAGTCTCCGCAAGCAGCGGGAGCGCTCTTGCTGCTTGCGGAGAGGTCCGCGAAGCCTGGACGTGCTGAGCTCAGCGCGCGCAGGCTTCAGCATGCAGGCAACTCTCCGCAAGCAGCGGGAGCGCTCTTGCTGCTTGCGGAGAGGTCCGCGAAGCCTGGACGCGCTGAGCTCAGCGCGCGCAGGCTTCAGCATGCAGGCAAGTCTCCGCAAGCAGCGGGAGCGCTCCCACTGCTTGCGGAGAGGTCCGCGAAGCCTGGACGCGCTGAGCTCAGCGCGCGCAGGCTTCAGCATGCAGGCAACTCTCCGCAAGCAGCGGGAGCGCTCCCACTGCTTGCGGAGAGGTCCGCGAAGCCTGGAGAGCGTGAGGGGTCGGTGCGCACCGACCCCTCTCACTCTCCAGGCTTCAGCGAAAGCCTGCATTCGCACCATAGGACGCACACACATTTCCCCTTCATTTTTGGAGGGGAAAAAGTGTGTCCTATGGTGCGAAAAATACGGTATCTATGGAACAGGAAAATTCAAATTTTGTGCAGGGTGGGGTGTACGTTGCCACCTGGATGAGGAGAATATAATGTAGATACCACTAAAATAAAATATAGACATAAGCAGCTTCAAGTCCTCATTAAAGTAAGCACTCAGTCTGAGCTCAGCGCATGTGCAGATTACTAAACTCACTGTTTTCAGAAGCAGAATAATTACATGAGTAAACAGCATATATTTATTCAACATGAGATCTATATAGAGGCAGTTTGGTGTGTCATCCTATACACACACACACACACACACACACACACACACTAGTGCCTTACTTGGAAAGCAATGGATTTCAGACTCCCTACCATTGTTAAACCCTTTTCCACACTCATTTGTCTAGTGAGGGACTTCAGCACTTTGTAGAGAGTGTCTAGAGACAAGCCTGGGTTCAGACAATATGCTAAACCAAACCATGTCTTCACTTGTAGCAGTGCAGGAATTTGGGAGGAGTGCAATGGCCTTGATTTCCTCTCTCAGAACACTCACATATTTGTGCTAATATGTTGTTTAGATTAGTATAATATGCATCTCTGATTAGTAGATTATATTTTGCTAGAAATTCTGCGCTTGCAGAAATGTAAAATAACATTACATTTCTATGTGTATTGTCCTCAGTTTAAAACTTGCTGGGGTATACTGAGCTCTACTTGGTAAGACTCTTCTGTTCTATTACAGGTTTGTATTGGACCACAAAATATGTGATTAGAACGAATGTTAACAACCTTGTGAGTAGACCACATACCTACTGAAGACGGGACTTGATACTTTCTTAATAAGTGAGTATTTAAGATACTATCTTTACTACTTGATCACTTCAGTATCTCAATCTGTAATTCTAGTTTGCAGCAAACATGAGACTGAGCTCTAAAGGGGGGAAAGTTCATCTTCAGCAGGGTGAGCCTGTAAGCACCTAGAAATGCTTGCTTTGCAAAGATGTGATGAAGCCAGAGTTAGGCTTCTTCAGATTTTGGCTGGGAATTAGGCCAGAAAACCTGACTGGCTTTGAATGAGCACCCCCAGTTGTGTAGCTCATTAGAGTTCTTAACAGTGGGCTCAGTCATACTGTAGTTTAAAGTGGATAGTAAGCTTTCTGTACCTCCATTAATTCTCCATTGCCAGCATGACATTCTCCTCTAAAACACTCCCTTCCCAGACTTCCTCCCCCCTCCAGATGTTCTCATACCTTCAATTTTTCAGAGTATCCCTGGTATGAGAAAATCTGGATTGAGGAAGCGGAAAGTGTGGGAAGGCGATAATTTGGAGGAGAATGTCATCTGGACAATGGAGAATCTGTGAAAGTACAGGAAGCTTACCATCCACATTAAATGACAGCATGGGTGAGCCCAACATCACAGACTGGAAATGAAAGCAGCTTTATGTGCTTAGTTTTTGTTCTTCCAGATATAATGGAAGCAGCTGCTACTCTAGAAGGCAGTGGTGATCTCTTACGAATTCTGTCTAGTCCCTTTCGTGAAAACTGTTTTGTTTTCAAAGGAGGCTGAATAGACCACAAACCATTTCTATAGATGAATAGCACTTACAGAATAAATATGTTCATTTGACATTTATTTATTTCATAAAATTTATACACTGCTTGATTTGGGGGAAATCCCTCAAAGAAGTTTATCACAAATTATGCAGTAATAGCATCCTTTAGAACTGTACTTTTCACGTCTTTCATTTCAGGGTTTGTTTTCTGTATTTGTAGTAAACCATAACTATCTAGAAGGATTTGGATAAACGCTTTTTGGAATTTATCAAGGTATAAAAAGCAAAGCAACATGTTGCTGGAAACACAATCAGTTGGAACAATTTCAGCTACCATCACTCTGTATTAAATTCAGGCTTTCCATTGCCGAGCTGGTTTTATTGTATAGAGAATTTAACTTTCAGCTGTTGCAGGACATTGATCTTCAGTCAGTGGGTCAGACCTCCAAGGGGGTGGCAGCTGTTTTTTTATTTAAAAAAAACAGCTTTGTATAGAAGAAGGAATTTTAGATGGTGAAGTATTTCTTATCTCCCTGCCTGATAAGCTGTGCCAACCAGAATTCAATCTGCCATATTGAATAGGGAACCCTGACCGCCTCCTTTACACCTGGTTGGTCCTGATAGAAAAGCAGGAACCTGGATGTGTGTGTTGAAAAGTTGAGAGTAGGCCCCATTTTTCAGGTTGCAGTTAAGGGTCATAGGCAGGAGTCTGCAATTTTTGACTGGCTTTGCTCAGAGCCTGTTTTCTTAGAAACAAGAAGCAGGGAGAATGTAGGCTTCGGCTGCTGCTTGACTGTGTTTCTCTGAATGCACCCCCCCTTTTATCATTTAGGAAATACAGTGGTACCTTGGGTTAAGTACTTAATTCGTTCCGGAGGTCCATTCTTAACCTGAAACTGTTCTTAACCTGAAGCACCACTTTAGCTAATGGGGCCTCCTGCTGCCGCCGCGCCGCCGGAGCACGATTTCTGTTCTCATCTTGAAGCAAAGTTCTTAACCCGAGGTACAATTTCTGGGTTAGCAGAGTCTGTAACCTGAAGCGTATGTAACCTGAAGCATATGTAACCCGAGGTACCACTGCAGAGACAGATGTGTGAGGGCTTCAGCCGCTGCTTGGTAGCAAGACTCACAGCTCCTCTGCTGGGCAACAGCTGTAGAAGCCTGCCCACCTCACCTTGCCCCTCTCTCCTGTGTGATAGAGAGGCAGGAGTGCTCAGGACGCTGCCAAGAAGTCCCTATAGCAGGAAAGGGTGGTGGGCTTGCTGGCTTGACCTGGGGCGTGGGGAGCATGGCCAGCTTTTCTCTCAGTCTCGGAGCTGGAAATAGAATTGCCACAAAGCTACCAGGTCAACTCCCACCCATCCAAGTTGGGCGGAAACTTGTTGTCACTCAACATGGTCGCCAGAGGGCAGTGCCACACTGCAGTTGTTGAAGTCTAGTCATAAGACTAGATAGGGGCATCATAGCTATGTGAAATAACTGCTAAAATCCCAATGTTTGTGAAACAGCTTTTTTAAAAAAAGGGAAAAAAGATTGTTGCTATTGTAAACTTGAAAAGTAAGCATAAAAGAGCAAGGGGTGGGAAGACCCAATTTATAGAATATTAAAAAACAAACACCAACTCTTCACTATATTTGCTTAGAAGAAATAAGCCCAGTTAATTTCAAAGGAACTTGGTTTCATACAAGAGTGCTTAGGATCAGAGTCTTCGTGTACAATCAAAATGATCCAAATGTTTATTCAGAATTATTGTATAAAATATACTGGGAATCTGTTTGGAAAATACTGAGTCTTGAGTATCCAAAATCCATATTTTGCTTTCCATAATCCAATTTTTAAGCCTCAAGATAAAGATTTAAATAGTAGAACAACACATTAAACAGATTCAGTTGTTCACTTGATTCTTATTCTGGTTGTTTAATTACCTCTCACATTTCCACAGCTTCAACCTTCCCACTTTGGGTTGTGTTTTACTGCTTTTCCTTTACTGATACCTAGTTCAGGATACTTGGTGGCCATGGATGTGGTCCACCAAACACTATTGTACATAACTCCATGAATTCAACAGATTTTATTTATTTATGAGATTCCGTACCTGTCCTTTGTATAAAGGATCCCAGGGTAGTTACAACAACAGACTGTACAATTGGTAGAACTCCCTTTGAAAAGGAATGGAGGTTACATAGCATACATCTTTAATGGTTTGCTTTTGTTTCTCTGTCTCTAAATTGGGCATTTGATGCACATGAAGTTGAAATGAAATCATTTGTGTAAATGAAATGTATCAGTAGAGAAGCGTACATTTAAAGTTAGTTTGAGGGGGCTGATGATATTCCAGGGAGGGATGGTACTTTTAAGCTACAAAACACACAACCCCGCTGCTTCATGTCTGAAGTTCCAAATGTAAATAAAGGAACCGGATAAACTGAGAAATGAAATCGCATTAAGGGAGGTCTTTATTTTATAGGCCGCTATAATAAGAATGTTCTCATCTGCATCCAACTGTCTCTTATCTGGGAGACTGCATAATGTATCTGCATGTACCCTTCTTCAGTTGGAGAAAATAGGCTTTTCAAATTTATAATCATTAGCAATATTTGTATATCACCCAGTCATCAATGATCTCTGGGAAGTGAACGGTAAAATATTAAAACATGAAGCAAAAACAGAATAAAACTTAGCACAAAAATTGAAATAGGTAAAATCAGCAATACCCAAGCTATTTAATATGGCAGATTGAAAAGCAGCAACAAATTTTAAAATTAAAATGCCTGGGAAAATAAAAAGTTGCCAGAAAGGGCATAATATGGGAGCTGGGCAAGCCTCTTTGCAGGAGATCTTTCCTTCCCTCCTGATCACCCTTTATATTCTGAAATTAAGCTGCAGAGGTCAGGGAGATCTCGTCTTAGTAAGGATTTACCAACTGTCTGACATTCATCATAGTGACCTGAACCAACCCTCAGAAGTGAGAGAGTTACTAATCCTTGTAGGGGAGAAAAGGAGTAAAAGTGTTCTCTGTTCAGAGTGAAATATGAAGCACTATGGGTGAAATTCAATGTTGTGCTATTATGAACGTTCTGTTTGCATAAGCACTGCAGCTTGCCAGGGGGGTTCTCCCAATTCCCCCCAAGAGCCAATTTTGAGGGGAGTGGAGATGGACTTGTTGCATAAGCAGAAATCCTTGTTCAGGGCTTCTGTTGAGGTGACATGTAAGTTGAATCCTGCACTATATGTATACAGTACAGTAGTTTGGATCTGACTTCCATGTGACAGTTTTTCTCATTCAGGAAAATAATTGCTTGCTTGAAGTGTTAGCATTGTTTTCACCAGCATAGTCTCACCGTTGGTTTCATTTCATTTCATTTTCAACTACAGGCTTGCTGCCTTTCCCAGAAACAGACATGTCCTATGTGTTTGTAAACGATTCTTCACAGACAAATGTGCCTCTGCTGCAGGCTTGCATTGATGGAGATTTTAACTATTCCAAGAGGCTCTTGGAGAGTGGCTTTGACCCAAACATTCGCGACAACGTGGCCGAACAGGCCTCCACCTAGCAGCGGCCAGAGGAAACGTAGACATCTGTCAGTTGTTGCATAAATTTGGTGCTGATCTGCTGGCCACTGATTATCAAGGTAACACAGCCCTTCACCTGTGTGGGCATGTGGATACCATTCAATTCCTCGTGTCCAACGGGCTCAAAATAGATATTTGGTAAGTATGCTGGAACCCTGTGTCTTGAATTTTTTGTAAAAAATAATACTTGTTGCTTGATAATCTACCGTAATAGGCAGATTGGGCCACTCAAAGGAACATGCGAGGGATTTCAGACATGTCAGTTTATTCTGCAGCCTTGCCGGAGTAGAAATTCAGCATAGTTCTGGGCTAATGAGCTGCACAAAAAACAAAAGCTGTTTCAGAGCTGACACAGGAGAAACTGGAAAGGCCTTCAGGTCCATTATTATAACTTATAATGGATTTGCTTTTCCTCCCCAATGAGACTGTAGCACGAAGAACTGTGATTCTCCCACATTATGAGCAGTGTAGATATATAACACAGATATATAGCGGTGTTAGATATATAAGCTAGGCACCAAATGGCACCCCAAACCCAGGTTACGGTCGACACAACAGAATGTCTGTTCGCAAGGGGGTTAGACTAGATGACCCTCTGGGTCCCTTCCAACGCTACAATTCTATGATCTCAACTATATTGCTTGACTGTTGACTCTTACAACAATTCACTTGTCCCAGTATGCTAGAAGGAGAAACACACATGGTGGAAATGGAAATGGGTATTAACTATGGACTAAGGCAGAGATTTATAAACTCTGGTTTGTGAGTTTCATTTGGCTGGCCTGTGGAAAGGCTGCAGCTCAGTCAAATATATGTGTACCCAGCCCTGCTCTTACTTTACCTGATGTGATGATGGAGGACTAAGATGCCCAGCAAGGGTGCATGATTTGCATGGCAGTGCAGAAACATAGATGCAGCTTTTGCTGCGCATGAGTCAACTGGCTTGATGGAGATGTCATTTGCCAACCTGGCGCCCAGAGATCTCCATGTAGTCACAATTGGACCAGCGCCAGTAACAAAACGTGCCTGGCACCTGGGGAATTTTGAACGCTGGTTATGAGGATGGTTTCCTCAGTACCACTGCCTCTTCTTGATGGTTGTTGCCACTGTCATGAGCCCCTTCCATGGAAGGTAAAAGGACCATCTGTACTGCACATTGTGGTGGTGGCACCATGGAAGCGGTATCAGGCAGAGATTATTTCCAATTCCTTCCATGAAAGATTATTTTCCAATTCCTTCCATGAAAGACAGAATCATCTCAAAATAACTGGCCTCATTTCACGACTTGCTGGTTTCAGTGTAAAGAAAAATGTGTTCCCCAGTTCTTTTTCATTGCTGTGGATAACATTGTTTTCCAGCGTTCACCTTACCTGCTCCCAGAGCTTGTGATTCAGTCTTTTCTCTGAAATACTGCATATTTGCTCTGCCAGGCTCCCAGCATCTGTCAATGCCAGTGCCCGGACAGAAGCATTTAATGTACTGAATAAATAAACACATTTAACAATTGTCCCAGAATGGTTTCTTGTTTGAACTATCTGCTCACATATCCTTATTGTCGGAAAACTGCAGTCAGGCTTAAGTCTGTTGTTTTTATCTTTTTGAGCTATATTTTGACATCTTATTGACTTGTATTTGGCTAAGAGAGATCTAGAGACAGCGCAGTCTTAGTAAGTTCACCTGTACTTTGCATGAATTCAACAAAAATCATCATAATTAACTTTGGGATAGGTCCTCTGATAATGCAACAGGAAGCTCTGAAAAAGAATTGGTGCCAGCTATGGTACTGACGTACGTGGTACATAAATAAAACAAATCCTTGGTGGGAAAAATTAGACAACAAAAATGCAAGAGGAAAGATAATGGGCAGAGAAAAATGTGATCAAATGCAATTGTGCAGACTTAAAATGAAATAATAAACCTGGATCTTGCAATCCCAAACAATCTCTTAACAGTTGTTTAGGAAAAGTTGCTTTCGTTTCCCCTTTTCTCCATCCATTGTCAGTATCAGTATTAAATTCAAAAGAGTTTTTAATGAATGATAAAATTAAGGAGCTATTTATCTTGTCTACATAGGTGCTCGTTTAGAAAAAAAACACTGCAATGGTAGTAATAAAACACTGCAATAATGGGCTATTTGAAGGCCACTTGAAATGCTTTACCCTTGCATGCTTACACCTCCAAAAATTCATATGGCAGTTATAACATTGGGAAATTGCTTTCCACCTGGTTCACCTGTCTAAATTGGAGAGTCATCATCCAGATGATTGCCATGCTGCACCTTTGTGTTATTGGATGGAATCGCATGGTAAATGGTTCTGAAATATTACACATCTCCCTCATAATGCAAGGAATGTCCCTAAAAATTCTTGTGATATAGAAGTCATAGAATTGTAGCATTGGAAGAGATCCCGGGGGTCATCTAGTCAAACCTCTTGCAATGCAGGAATCTCAACACGCGGTCCCTCATCTAATTTGAAACCATACTTAGCTCTGCAAATGTGGCAACAGTTTTATTGCATCTATCCATGTTTCAAGTAGAAACAGTTCTGTGAGCTCTTTCTCTCTATGCCTAATATAGCAATCACCAAGGTGCTACACCTCTTGTTCTGGCAAAACGAAGAGGTGTAAATAAAGATGTGATCCGGTTGCTAGAATCTTTGGAGGAGCAAGAAGTGAAAGGATTCAACAGAGGAACTCACTCGAAGCTGGAAACAATGCAGACTGCTGAGAGTGAAAGGTATTGCAATAAAAACCAAATCAGTATTGTTTACTGGTTCAACATAGCTGAATGAGTTCTCATGTTTGGAGCTTGTTCTGCGTATTCAAAAAGGTCAGGGCTTATTGTCAGCGTTTCCATAGAACCTTTACTCTATGTTTGGGCTTTAGTTTCCAAGTTGATCTTTCAGGTTCTTCGAAAGCTGTACTGCCTGTGTCTTATGTGACTCATGAACTTTGGTAGTCAGCCAAAATCACATATGGTTAGTTCTCAATGAGCCTGTACCATCTCGGATCGCCAGAGGAGGCTCACGTGACCTGACTTCTCCTCCATACCAAAAAGCGAAAACCCTAGACATAGAAAATTAGATATCAGGGAGAAAGGTTCTAGCTTAACTTTCTTTCTGACACATTGGAAAACCACGGGCAGATAGTGATTTTTGTACGGAGGAGCATTCAGTCATGCCCAAACCAGCCTGTAGTGAGTGGCTTCAGCAGTAGAAAGTCTCTGAGGGTCGTTTTGTGTTCTATGTGACAGACCTGCTTTCAGTGTGTCCATTGTGTGTCTTTCAATGAACGCTGTGTTATCGGAAAGGGAGATATGCTTGTGTAAACACAGGAAGCCTCAGGCACTTGCTGCAGGTTGCAGTTGTCTGACTGGTGCTACACACTTTCCATAGCCTTTCTGTGGTAGGCAAGGGAGCAAGGGAGCTCTCACTTCCACCATCCCTGCTGCTTTATGCAGATAGGCCCCTTCCCAGCTGCCAGGGGGCAAGTTGAAAATACTATCTGCCTTGGAAATGTATGTGCTTCATATTTACAGTGAAGCAGCTGGAATATTGATATATTCAGGTTTTCATCCTGAAAATTATTTTCAAGTAGAAACTAGGCTAGACTTTTTAATGCCTGTCCTCCAATCCTTATCAAACACATTGGGAAAGGGGAACAAGATCTTTATTCCTTTAACATATTATGGGTTTTCTTCAAGATCCTCTTACGCATTAAGTAAATCAAAATGGTGGTTTTCTTTGCCCGTTCTATAGGAGATGCAGCCCACCTCTTCCATTTAAGAAGTACCTTCAGTTCTAATCGAGCTTTCCTTTGCAAATCAGCATTGTGCATCTAATGCATTTAAACGTAATCCATTGCTTCCTTATCCCCTAATTTTTTTTCATGAAATAACTTGGCGGGGGCGCTGGTTTGGCGTAGGTTTTAGGGCTCTGTGAGCCCTCTCCAAGTCATCTGCCTCAAATTCAGGCTTGGGATTGTGTTTTTCAGCCAGCGTATAATTAGGTCTGCTGGGCTTTTCTCTCTGTTTTTCAGGAAAGTTGCGGAAGCGGATGTTACAACGTCTATTGCGGTCTTCAAGGTCGGCTTGCTTAATTTTCATCTCTCTGTGTTCTGCTTCCATTTGGTTTACCAGTTCGTCCAGTTTCTTGTTGACACGTGCATTCTCTTCCCGGTATTGCTCTATTATTCTTTCTTGCATTTGGTTCTTGTTCTCTAGAGCTTCCACTTTGGAGGTTAGATTGTTGATTAGTACCTGCATGGGAGCCATTGTGGCTTTCAGTGTTTCTTCTAGTCTTGCTTCCATTTCCCTCAGATCTCGTTTCGTTATTTGGTGGTCATCGTCTTGAAGGGAGTTACCGTCTTAACATTGTTTGCCATCTCCCTGGTTGGTGTCGTCTTGGTCTCCCTGGTTTTGGTTTGAGGTTGGCTTGGCGTCCTCTTGGGGTAGGTCGTGTGTGGTTAGGAGTTGTGGCAGTGGTGATTCCTGGGTATTGTTGGGTTGCTGAGCTGATCAGGCTTTGTTGGTTGGTGGCTTCTACAGAGCGTTTGCGTTAGGTGGTCATTTGTGTCACTTCTAGTCTGTGTTTTAAGAACTTCTTTAGGGCTTCTGTAGATGCCTCAGCGGTGCCGCCGAGGCGGGGGGGGCAGGTAAGCAGAGATGGGTAGACTGACGGGCAGACAGTTCATATAAAGGGAGGGGGGTTAGCAGGTAGAGATGCAAGAGATTGGAGGGGTGGGGCCAGGGGAGATATGTGTTAGGAGGGGGTTGTATATGCCCAAAAGGGGTATTGGGGTCCAGTTGAGGTGGAAGTTGGGGTTGGGAGTGCGCTCAGAAACAGAGACAGACAAGTAGGCTATATGTAAAGGGTGGAGGGAGAAGAAAGGGAAGAAGAAAAAGAAAGAAAAAGGGGGGAGGCGGGGGGGAGGGGGAGATTGGAGTGAAAGAGAAGGGAGAGATAGTACAGTAATATCAGCGGTAAAGATTCAAATAAAGGGTGGCTGCAGTAGCAGTGGACCCTCTTTTATAAGGAAAAGAGATAAAAGTAGGTATATGGGGGAGGGATAAAAAGGTATATATATATATATTAAGGGGGAGGGGGGAGGAAGGGGTTAAAAAAAAGGAAGGGGGTTAAAAAAAAAAAAAAGGGAAGGGAAAAAAAAGGTAGTTTCTACTTTGTTATGCTGCTTCTTTGTGTTTCCCGGTGGGGCTCAGCCACGTGTTGTTGTTTTTTCGGAGCCTTTTTTGCCTTCCCGTGCTCACCTACCTCTCCCCTGCTTTTTTAAGGGGGGAGGGAGGGGGAGGAAGGGGTTAAAAAAAGGAAGGGGGTTAAAAAAAAAAAAGGGGGGGGAGGGAAAAAAAAGCTAGTTTCTCCTTTGTTATGCTGCTTCTTTGTGTTTCCCGGTGGGGCTCAGCCACGTGTTGTTTTTTCGGAGCCTTTTTGCCTTCCCGTGCTCACGTACCTCTCCTCTGCTTTCTTCTCGGCAGAGATGGGGGCGGCAGCGGTAAGTTTGGGGCTCCTTTTTCTTTCTTTTTCTTCCTCTCTCCCCCTTTCTTTCTCCCTCTTTGTGTTGGCTCCACTGTCCTCCTGGTTTTGGAGCTCCTCTCTGCTGTTGGGGGGTGGTCGGGTGCCTTTCCGGCTCAATCTCAGTCGTGGGGGGGGGGTGTTTTGGCTCCTTTGATAGATGCCTGGGCACCCCCGATTCCTCTCCGCTGTTGGTGCTGGCGGCAGCAGACTTGGGAGCCCTGGGGTGGCCAGACAGAGCCTTTTACTCTGGCTGGCTTCAGGAGCTCTTTTCTGCTGTTGCAGCCGCCATGCTGCCTCGCCGGAAGTCCTCTGCTGTGTTGTTGTATATTGTCTCAAGAGTGAAAATATCTTGTCTTAAAGCATTGGTGGGAAACCAGATGTAGCTGGACTATAATTGTTATCATTCCTGACCATTTATTTAAGGAATTAATACACTGTGTTTTGTTTTTTTAAGAAATCCACCGTAAAGCGAATTACAATACAGTGGTACCTCGGGTTCCATACGCTACAGGTTACATATGCTTCAGGTTACACACTCTGCTAACCTAGAAATAGTGCTTCAGGTTAAGAACTTTGCTTCAGGATAAGAACAGAAATCAGGCTCCGGCGGCGTGGCAGCAGCAGGAGGCCCCATTAGCTAAAGTGGTGCTTCAGGTTAAGAACAGTTTCAGGTTAAGAACGGACCTCTGGAACGAATTAAGTACTTAACCCGAGGTACCACTGTATTTTTGAACACAAATAAATTCCGTAAATTCTGTTAAAAATCCATAGTTAGCAACAATAAACAATAATAACATTAAAATTACCAGCATAAAACAATAACCATAAACTACCCTCATTCATACCTCCTCAGATCAAAAGCTATTGAGAAAAAATTAGGTTGTTAAGGCCTTCTTTTAAAAAAATGAATTGAATTCCAAAATTGTGGAGCCACCACTGAGAAGGCCCTATTATGCAACCTGGCAGTCTAATTGCTTTTACTGGTGGGTATGCTGGCTGGGGCTGATGGAAGTGTAGTCCAACAACATATGGTGGTCCACAGTTTCACTATCCCTGCCTTAAAGAACTGCCAAAGATCCAGCAGGAAGACAGTAGTGGCTTATCACATGTGAGAGGTAGCAATACTGTTGCTTGGGACACTGAATCAAATCCTCTGTAAGTGAAGGGTACTGTTCTGTATCTCAGACTCTTCCCTTGTAGTCACAATACTCTTGAATGGCATCATTGGGAAGTGGACATCCATAAACCTGATCTTTTAGAAGGAGTTATATATATTAAGTAATCTCCCTATGCTCTATTACAGCCAGCTTTGTCCTCTTTCTAAACTGTAGGGAGCTGCTGAGCTGACAAAACAGGAGCTACAGATAGCGATAGATCGTTCTAGGCTTCAACATTAGGACTTTGAACCAACATATTTCTAAACTCGATCTGTATGAACTGAGATAACTGTGGCAGGGTTTGATTAAACAAGCACCGGGAGGAAAGGCATTCAAAAAGGTATGTAGTATGAACACTAGGGGGAGCTGTAAGGCTTTTGAATGTTGAACTGGATTTAGTATTCCAAGATGAACAGGGACTGTACTTTGCAAATTCCTATAACCAGTTTTTTACCCTTTTATTGGGAATGGGGGGGGGGGGAGAGACAATAATGAATGATGAATGTTGCAGTTTAGCACTAAATTATGGAACCAAAAGTGTAGGCAGATAGTTCTGGGGGCCACTGACAGGTCTTGTTCAAGATGGTGTCAAACACACATATTACCTGCAGGGCAATCTAGACCAGTTGCTCTAGGATTAGGGCCAGCAAACTTTTTCAGCAGGGGGCCCGTCCGCTGTCCCTCAGACCTTGTTGGGGGCCGGACTATATTTTTTTTGGGGGGGGGGGAATGAATGAATTCCTATGCCCCACAAATAACCCAGAGATGCATTTTAAATAAAGCACACATTCTACTCATGTAAAAACACCAGGCAGGCCCCACAAATAACCCAGAGATGCATTTTAAATAAAAGGACACATTCTACTCATGGAAAAACACTGATTCCTGGACCATCTGCGGGCCAGAAGGCAATTGGGCCGGATCTGGCTCCCAGGCCTTAGTTTGCCTACCCATGCTCTAGAAAGACGCTCTCTTTTCTTCCACAAAAGACCAACTGGATATATAGGGCAGAGCAGACACTAGTGGGAGGCCCAGCAACTTCCACAATAATCAAGTGATAATGCTAACATCAGGTTGCTGCCAGGAAACATCCTTCTTGGTTTTCATTTTGGTTCCTCCTCTTTGGGAATATCCAATGCGAAAAGCAGCAGTTGCCTTTTGTCCTCATGTAAATATTATCGTTTCCCAGTTCAGTGAAAACATATATCCAGTTTGATTGGTAATGCAAGTGTCTTGACTAGGATTTTAGTAGTCTCTTAAACAAGCTTGAGATGCCATTTTTATAATCTGAGAATGTTTAGGCTAACGATGTTTGGTAATTCTGTAGAAATGCAGTAATCCTACCATAAAATTGTGTGTGAGAGAGTGCACAGTTTCACCATATTTAAATGTTTTAATTTCTAGCCAGAGCTTATGTCAAGGTCTGTTTGCAGATCACCGAGAAACCAAGTGGCAGATAGAAGAACAAGTTCACATATATCAGCTGATTTTATTTAAGCATTCGTTAGTGGCGGTGGCTGGTAAGTATTCAAGTTGGTGAGATGGTGACCAGGGCAACTAATGGGAGGCAGAGGCAGGCAGTCCCTGGAGTCAGTCATACAAACGTAAGAAGAGTCTGCTGGATCAGGCCAATGGCCCATCCTAGTCCAGCATCCTGTTCTCACAGATGCCTTTGGGAAACCCACAGGCAGGACCAGAGCCCAAGAAAAGTCTCCCCTCCTGTGGCTTCTGAGCAACTAGTTTTCAGAAGTATTGCTGCCTTGGCACGTGTAGGCAGAGCATAGCCATCAGGGCCAGAAGCCACTGATAGCCTTATCCTCCATGAATTTGGCCAACCCTCTTTGAAAGAATGTTGGCAACCATCACTGCCTCCTGTGGGAGTGAGTTCCATAGTCTGTGTGCTGTGTGAAGTACTTTGTTTTATTTGTCCTGAATCTTCCAACATTCGGCTTCAGACAACTAATTCTGGTTTTCTCCCCATCCTCCCTTGAAAATGTACAGTGAGCACTTAGGCAGTTCTCAGACACAAGCATCAGATGTTAGCATTTCTTTTGTTAGTGTTATTAATTTATTAATCATCTGCACAAATGTCTCATGGCAATACATAACAACAAAAAACAGTTAAACCACACAAGTGAGCAGGTGTATGTGTGTTTGAAAAAAACACTAAAAAAACTAAAGACACATCAGAATAAAAATGTCTTTGGTTGTTTCCAGAAAGTGCAGACAGTAGATGCCTACTATATTTTGACAGGAACGCTGTTCCACAGAACAAGGGCAATTCTGTGCTCCTGAAAGCCAGCTCTGAGTTATTGTGGAGTGGACTTCTGAGAACTTTGGAACTTGCAGGACAAGCTCTACCATAGGCTGCAGAGACCCACAGGATGAATAAGGGGTAAGGCAGTGTCTCAAGTTACCTAGTTCTGAGCTGGATAGGGCCTTTTATGCTAGCAGCAACACCTTGAGCTTTGTCTGATAGCAGATTGGCAAACGGTGCAAATCCTCAGAGCAAGGTGTTATATGCCAGCAGTAGTTTGACCCCACAAGCAGCCCAGCCACTGTATTCTGCACCAGCTGCAGTCTCAAGACTAACCTCAAAGGTAAAGGTAAAGGGACTCCTGACTGTTAGGTCCAGTCACAGATGACTTTGGGGTTGCGGGAGGGAGCCGGTGTACAGCTTCCGGGCCATGTGGCCAGCATGACTAAGCCGTTTCTGGCAAACCAGAGCAGTGCACGGAAACGCCGTTTACCTTCCCGCCAGGGCGGTACCTATTTATCTACAGTGGTACCTCGCAAGACAAATGCCTCGCAAGACAAAAAAACCCGCTAGACGAAAGGGTTTTTTGTTTTTTGAGCTGCTTCGCAAGACGATTTTCCCTATGGGCTTGCTTCGCAAGACGGAAACGTCTTGCAAGTTTGTTTCCTTTTTCTTAACACTGTTAATACAGTTGCGACTTGACTTCGAGGAGCAACTCATAGAACGCGGTGTGGTAGCCTTTTTTGAGGTTTTTAAAGACTTTGGTGATTTTTGAAGCTTTTCCAAAGCTTTCCCGACACCGTGCTTCGCAAGACGAAAAAAATCGCAAGACGACAAAACTCGCGGAACGAATTAATTTCGTCTTGCGAGGCACCACTGTACTTGCACTGCATGCTTTCAAGCTGCTAGGTTGGCAGGAGCTGGGACTGAACAACAGGAGCTCACCCCATTGTGGGGATTCGAACCGCCAACCTTCTGATGAGTAAGCCCTAGGCTTTGTGGTTTAACCCACAGCACCACCCATATCCCTCAACCTCAAGGGTAGCCACACATATAATGCAGTAATCCAACTGTGAAGTTACCAGTATATGGGCAACTGTGGCCAAGGAGAAAAGTTGGACACCTAGAAATGTTACGTTTCTCCAAGTCTGCATCAAACGCCTAGATTTACCTGTGATTTTTCAGTTCTGCATATAACAAGACAGACAGAAAAGACTCCTGGGAGTCTCTAAATGGTAGAAAAATTATGAATGTGAGGCTATAGGACACAGGACTTCTGAGTTCTAGCACTGGATTTTAGGGTGCAGAAAAAGCAATGGTACGACTCTGCCACATTTGCCCTAGGGACCAGCCTCCCCTGTTTAGGGGTTTGGCTAAAAAGAAACTCGAAGAATGCAGTTGTCTAAATAGACCTCTTCAGCCCCCCCCCCTTTGCTATTATTCATAAATACTTTTTGAAAACATTCCTGCTGGGATATTTTCTCTAATTAATTTTGGTATCAAAGATGATCTTTAGAGTAAGAATGAAAGTGCTGATGGCTGTGAAAACTGTCTTCATTAAAAAGACATGAAATCTTAACCGCAGCTTTTCAAAACCCCTGTGGAGGCTACTAGAGAGTTTCATCAGTATGACTCCCCTTTCAAGCGCGCATTTGTTAAAAGGCCATTGTTAAATGCCAGGACATTTTGCTTTGCTTTCCTATTCTATTAGCACTTGGCATGTCAGCAAGGGCCAAAAAGTTTAAAAACTTCCTGCATCTTTCCTGGCATCGAAGCTTAGCACTGATTCTATAAACATGGCCTTAGATTTCTTGACGGCTACTGGCTGGTTCACGCATACAGCCTTATCCACAATCACTGTATTACCATGTAATCATTGCTTGCATGTGTGGATCCAGCACCCCAAGTTGAAGTTTTGCATTATCTGATATAACTTCAATTGTCAGATTTGTTTCTGTGCACATCAAGGAGTGCTAACGGGGCAGGGATATCTTTACACCTTGGCTAGTGACAAAATGGACGCGGGAGGCGCTGTGGGTTAAACCACAGAGCCTAGGACTTGCTGATCAGAAGGTTGCCGGTTCGAATCCCCGCGACGGGGTGAACTCCCGTTGCTCGGTCCCTGTTCCTACCAACCTAGCACATTAAAGTGCAAGTAGATAAATAGATACCGCTCCGACGGGAAGGTAAATGGCGTTTCCGTGCGCTGCTCTGGTTTGCCAGAAGTGGCTTAGTCATGCTGGCCACATGACCCGGAAGCTGTATGCCGGCTCCCTCGGCCAATAAAGCGAGGTGAGCTCCGCAACTCCAGAGTCAGTCACGACTGGACCTAATGGTTAGGGGGTCCCTTTACCTTTACCTTAGAGACAAAATAAGAACAGTTTAAGGACTCATGAAGCTGGTTTGAGGAACAATGCATCAGACAGTAGTATTTTATGACAAAGCGCAAGGTATATATGCATATTTTGGATTGCATAGCGTGAACCAGGATTGAAAACCCAGCACTGGAAATGCCTGGAATGCGTGGTAAACACAGCCTAAGCCTGATTCCCTCATATATTGGGCTGACATACATTGATTTGAGACCTGTAAACTCATTGCTACTGTGGAAACTGGCAGCTTAGTTAACTTTTGTGACACCTTTGCTTTGAAGTGAGTTGCATGTTTTTCACAATTGGCCTGAGAGCAGCAAAAGATGAAGAGATTGCAAGAGGGGGAAGGAAGCAACCAAACAGGTTAGCAACAACAGATTACAAACTGCTGCGTAAGAAATCTTGTGGTATCTCCAAACATCTGAACAGGTTCGCAATACTTTGCTCTTTGGCCCCTCAATGAAATCGAAGCAGTTGTTCCTGCTGCTTTGGTAGTAAAGACAACAAGCTGCATTCTAAAAAAAACAACAACCTTACATAGCCCTTGAACTCATAACTTGTAGCCTGTGAATGATTTATTCCTAAACTGAGAATTACAAATCGAGTAACAGCATCTAACAATTCCAGAAATCAGTAATGCTGCTTAAATTTATGTGACAGATTTGAATTATATGTTTGCAACAGCAGTTTGATATTATGGATTGGAATTAGCAGGGATCAAATGGGGAATTTACTCACACCAACCTCCCCAGAACCCCGGGGGGCGGGGCTCTCAGAATAATGTGGATTGTGCATTGTTGGAGGCAGGGAGTATCTGACACACATGTTGGTATTTGAGGGGCTAGAGAGGCACTTTATTGGAAGGTCTTTTGCATGGGTACCACATGACTGGATAGAGGATATGAGTACTGTACAAGATGGTTTGGAGAAGCCAGGGACAGATTGCTCCATTATGCCTTGCTGGTGAGCTTTCATGCAGCAAGTGGCTGTTCACTGTTGTTTTGTGAACCTTTAACCTGATCCAGCAAGGGAAATCCTGGCATTCTTATGTTGCTTCACTGATGTTCAAAAAACCCAGATGTGAAGCATGTTTGAACAGCCCGCTCTGGAAGGCTATTCTTCTCCCTTTAAGAATGGTAGATTGATAAAGATGCATTATAACACTAAAAATTGAAAACTGATGTTTAACTATGAATTATGAAGAATGATATTCACTCTGAAACTATGTTTATAGAAAATCCATCCATATTTCAGCTAACCCTAGAATTAGGTGTTTTCTTGGCCAGAGCATCTTGGCCATCTTTTAAATTGGGTGGCAAACCTGTGACCCCGCAGATGTTGCTGGACTACAGTTCCCAGAATGCCTGTCCATTTGTCATTCTGGCTAGGGCTGATAGGAATTGGAGTTCAACAACATATGGCAGGCCACTGGCTGCTCTTCCTTACTCCCCACCACCCCCTGTTTAAAGCCTTTTCAGATTTAGCACCTAAATTTGTAGCTTCCTCCAATTTGTACATTAATTAAGCCAAATGCTACCTTTAGAAAACAAATGATGGCTTTCATGGCCTCTTACTGGGAGATAAAACAGCAAGTATTATTTATGGTAATTCTTTGCATATTGCTTTTAAGATGCTGTTTTGATCTGGTTAGAACCCTGGGGCTGCCATATGCTAAGAAGTTGCTGTTAAGTGAATTGACCTTATCAATATTAAATGTCCAATTCCCCAGCAAGCAAGAAAAATAAATAAATGTCAAATCAGGAGCAGGGGGCCATATATACAGCAGGAAGCCATTGAGACTGAAGCCTGTCAGGTTAATTTTTAATTGCTTTATTGTAGGGCCTCATAAAAACTCGGATAAGAAAGCAGCAAAGGTGCTCCATATTTTTAGTACTGTTCTGTTCTTAAAAAGCACCAAGCAGTAAACCAGTCTGATTGCATTTTGAAACCAAGGGCTTGTTTGCACAATTGTGTATCAAGAGAGCAGCTTAACCCTCTTCAGTCTTGGAAGGAACTAACAAATGAACGAATGAACAACTGTTGGGATAGCAAAAGATTCTGCAGGGGTTGGACTAGATGGCCCTTGTGGTCCCTTCCAACTCTACAATTCTATGATTCTGAGGAAGGAAGGAATTAAATGGAGTGGAACTAGGCGGAATAAGATAAGCCCCGGATAAACTCATACATGACAGGTGGATAGAGCTGATGAGCATAGTGAAACTGATTGAGGTGTTTATCACTCAAATCTGATTCATGAGAGCATTGTTTTAAATTGGGTTGATGTTCCAAACATTTCCCCTTCCTCATACTGCCTACAGTGGAAAGGAGAGTCTGAGGAGTGATGCCACACCACCTGCTTTAAGTAAAAATCAGGGAGAAACAAACCTCAAGAAATTATCACCACGGTATCTCCCCAGTTACAGCTCCAGCCCCCCACTATTCAAGTGTAACCCTCCAATCCCTGTGCTGTCTAATTTTGTGACTACAAATGCTGCAAAAGTGTCCAGTGCCCCCTCCCACATCCAAAAGAAACAAAAACTGAAAGGGAAATTCTCACTGCTCAGAGGAGTGGGCTGTGTACAACTAAGGCATTCAATGCTAGAGGCACTAGGCAAAAGATTATGGGACAGCCAACTGCCCTGATCCTGGTCAAGATAGAAAATCTAAATACAAAAACACCATAAAATCCAACTTTAACATAACTTACCTGTTACAAATGCCTTGCAAACGCAGGTTACACGACCCACTTAGAGAATGTTTTTTATATGGCTGGCAAAGCGAAAGGAGCTGAGAGTGAATCAGGAATGACAAACCAGTGGCCTGCCAGATTTTGCTGGACTTCAGGTCTCATTATCCTTTTCAATTGGCTGTGCTGGCTGGGGCTAATGGAATGTGGACATCTGGAGGTCCACTGGTTAGCCATCCTTGGTGTACATGTTTGTACAACTTTACTTATCTTTCCTATACCCACTTATCTAGGAGTAAATCCCACATATCTTGGTGGTACTTCCTTTTGAGTAGACAAATATAGGATTGTCTTGTGATTAGTTTGGTGTTTGATTTTGGCACCAGAGGGAGCTGCACTGCAATAAAAAGAAGACTGAAGAGGTAAAGTATCTGATCTAAACCACAGGGAAAAACAATATTAAGCTCCATACAAGTACATTTCTGTGGCTAAATGTATGGAGGGGCAGCATATATGGCAATATATATCATACCATATAAGGTTGTAAACTGCCAAAAGATTGGAATGGAAGGTGCTACATAAATGTTTAATATACAAATAAAGAAAATAAAAACAGACTTACTAGGCAGTGCTAAGCCTATTTATCAGTGAAGACAATGGGATGTTTCTATGTCAACATAGTTGGGCTATAAGTGTATATAGATATGAAATAGGAATGTGCAATGATATAATCTACACCCCACTGAAATAAATGGCACAGTTGCCCCCATCAGGCCTGATAGATCTTGACAGCAATCTTTGGCCCACCAGATGTCATTGGACTACATCTCCCATCACCCCTAAGCATTTCCATATTGGCTGGGGCTGTCAGGAGTTGGGAGACCAACAACATCTGGAGGGCCACATGTTTCTCACCTCTGTGCTTCTGGAAAGATGCTAGCCTTGAAGATGGTTTGGAAGCTACAACTTTTGCGGAATTCAGTTGTTAGCTAAGCAGTACAGCTCATTGAAACCACATAATACTGGTTCTTCAGGAGCTGCACTAGTTGCCTGTATTCTACTGAGTCCAGTTCTATGTGTTAATGTAAACTTACAAAGCCTTAAATGACATAGGGATCCAAATAGTTTCCTTATACCACCCTGTCTGGGACAGTCACACTCTCAACTATGAGATTTGCTTTCAGGTATTTCTTGCTGCCATTCTTACTTGGTTTCCAGCACAGCCGAAGATGTTCCCTAGGCCTATGGGTAAGTGTGATTTCTTCAAGGCTAGCTGCAATCTGATGAATGTCTGTTTGCTACATAATATGGTAGTATTTTAGACGAGCTTTAAACTGTCATCTTCTGTGTTATAGCAGCACTGAAGTGACCTTCCGAGGCAGCAGACCTGTGCAGTGTGTATAGAGGTCCTGGGAAGCCCTGATGATGAGACCCCCTTTCAGCCTCCCTGTATAATATGTAGTGTCTATAGATTAGGTTGCAATCTTTCTATTTCACAAATGTTGGTCCCTCTATTCGAAAAAGTCTTCTACGTAGAGGGAATGAGATTATATGAAAATGTACTTAAAGAACAGTTGTCTCAAAACACTATGCTATTAAAGAGATTACAGAACATGCAAAAAAAATTGCTCTTTTCAGTGTAACTCATGGGTTCTTCTCATATAATTTACTCTTGGAACTTGTTGCTCAGGCAAGGAGCAAACAGAAGTAGGGGATGTGGCAATGGATGACACTCAGCCAAATATCACCATACCTTTTTTAAAAAACAAAAACCCATATGCCTACAGCTACACAAATGTGCTTCATAGTATTCTCAGTCAGGTACTATGTGGTTTTTATATTGGATTTTCTTCCCATTATTGAATGAAATGTGGATCAGGAAAAATTGAATTTAGGGAAAAGTGCAGGATGAGGAGAAAGTTGCAAAAACAAAAATTGAGTCACAAGAAGATGGCTTGCTTGCTAAATCTACCTAATTTTAAGCCAAGGTATCAAAACAACAGTATGGATCCCAGAAGGATGCAATTAATCGCTGAAGCAATATATTTATTGCAGTGACTAACAAAACAGAGATATGAAACTCTAAAGCAAAATGTTTAGGGATCTGAAATGTTTTGCTTTTAAGACTAATATCAGTATTACTGTTGTGCATATTGAGCCAGTCACTCTCAGCCCTAGCCTACCTCACAGGGGTCTTGTGGGGGGATTAAATGAGGAGGGGGAGAACCATGATGCAAGCCACTCGAGTTCCTTGGAGAAAAAGGCGGGATATAAATGCAGTGATGATGCATTTATTACATGGACAATTTGGAGAGTAGGGTTTCGCAGACCTTATTGTCTCTGGCAACCTATGAATGTGAAATTTTACGAGTTTTAATAGCCCGACAAGAACAACAGTCTTAAAAGAGGAAAAAACCGTCAAAGGTAAATGTGCGCAACAAAAGAAAATGCTGACAGGGGAAACGTGCCTCTGTGACAGCGAGGTCGAGGAGGGCGGACCTGAGGGAAGGAGCGCATCCTTCACGCACGAGCAGTTTCGCGCTTAACATCTCAAGAGGAGCCGGCACAAAAGCTCTCGCCTCTATTGGCCACCCTTCCCACCAATTGGCCGTCTCCTCCCTTCCCATTGGCTCGTCGTTCAGCCCGGCTTGCGCTCACATACACACAGCAGTCATGCGCTTCTTTAATTTGGGGGAAGGCGGCGGGGCGAACCAGGAACGAACCCGCCCCCCTTTCGCGGCCGTAATAAGAGTTACTGGATGAGGACGGAGCGCGCAAGCGGAGTCTCGCTCGCCTTCCCTGCAACACGCGCCTCAGGCCTCCTTCCCTGTCCCGTAAGCCGAGCGAAGCTCTCCTCCCACTGTGGCTCGTGTGCGCAAGGCAAGCGGCCGCCGGCCGGCTCGGTGGCTTTCGCCTCCTCCCCCCCTCCGCTCCCCTATCGCATGCGCGTCTCCGATTGGACGGTTGTTTTTCCTTCCCCTCCCTACTCCAGCTCGTCGCCCCGCTTGTACTCACCTGATTGGCTGCCGCGCACGCGCGGGCTCCGCGCCCCCCTCCCCCCGTCCCCCTCAGGGGTAGGGGTTGGAGTTGCTCCTGGCCGAGGCCCGGCAGTCGCTTGGCATCCCTCGAGGGATTCGCAGCTGGCCGTGGCCGTTGAGCGTCGTCGCGATGGAGCTGCCCCGCTTACTGTGGCCGTGGTAGTGCTACTGTGGCCGTGGGAATATGGCCGCGCCGCTGCCCGCGGCTGCCGCCTGGCTCCTGGCCGGGCCGGGGGGAGGCGGCGAGAGGGAGACGCGGGTCGCGCTGCGGTCGCCGCTGCTGCTGCCGCTGCTGCTGGGCATCCTCCTCAGCCGCTGCCTGGGAGAGCAGCCGCCGCGCGCCGCCTCCGCCGCCGCCGCCGCCGCCGCCGCAGCCTCCTTACTGCCCGGCGCCTCCGACTCTGAGGAGACGGTGATCATCGGGCTGCGGCTGGAGGACACGAACGACGTGTCGTTCATGGAGAAGGGCGTGCTGCGAGTGAGCGAGAGGAGCCGGGTCAAGCTGCGGGTCTACGGGCAGAACATCAACAACGAGACTGGTCCCGCATCGCCTTCACCGAGCATGTCCGGTGGAGGGATGGCGAAGGCAGGCGGCCGCCGCGGAGCAAGAGGACGGCCCGGCCCCCGTGGGCTCTACCTCCCCGGCCCCGCAACGCTGCGGCATCCGCACCTCGGACATCATCATCCGGCCGCACATCA